ATCCCAGGACCCTGGGATCATGACCTGAGCTGAAGGCAGAGGCTTTAACCCACTGAGCCACCCAGGCACCCCGACTTTATTGAATTTTTAATTCTATAGTTGTGGTCTACTAAAATTAATCCCTGGAGAACAGAGACGCTGCTCACTCATTCTTTGAAACTTCAGAGGCTGCTACATTGCCTGATCTGCAGGTCAGTAACAGTTAATCAAGTAATTCTGAGCACCATCTGTGTGTCTTATGGCAGTGGCTTTAAAAACTGTCCACAAGTTCACTGATACTTTTCCAAAGGTGGAGCCTAACTCCCCTTCCCTTGGGTGTGGGCTGCAGTTGGTGACTCACTTCTAGTGAATAGACTATAGGGAAAAAGATCTCATGTAACTTCTGAGACCAGTTTGTAAAAGGCATTTGCAGTTTCCTCCAGGAAGAAGGGAAGTCAGCCGCCATGTTGTGACAACACCCAAGCAGTCCTGGGGAGGCCTCCTGCTAACAGCCATGTGAGTCAACCATCATGGAAGCAGTCTCCAGCTCCAGTCAAGCCTTCAAATGACCGCTGCCCCACCCGACATTTTGGCTACAACCGCATGAGACCTGGGGCCCAGAAGGGCAAAGCCATTCCCATGTCTGGCCCACCGGAAACTGTGGGTTAATACGTGTTTGTTGTTTTACACCACTAAGCTTTGGGCTAGTTTGTTATACAAGCGAGAAGTAACTCCCCTATGTAGGATGGTGAGTAATAGTAGCAATAAGAATAAAATCATAATTCACTATTTATAACTTACAAGAAGAATTGTAAAGAATAATAACGAAGATGCTGCAGCAGCTTGCATTCATGGTTTGCTATTTTCGATACCCCGTATACACCATTAACTCATTTACTCATCACGAGAATATTATAAGCAGGTGGCCATACTTCCATTTTACCTACGGGGAAATGCAGGCTTAAATTAAGTCTCTTGGCTACAGTGCTAATAAGTGGCACAAAAAGAACTAATATCCAGGTCTCCTTGCTTCCAAATCCCCTGCTCTTAACCACTAGGCACACTGTCTACCACCACATGTTTACTGAGTGAGTGAGCGAGTGAGTGAAGGGTGTCGGCGTAATCACATCCTTGAGCCCCAGACGTCTCTGCCTCTGTGGGCCCCTGCCTCCATTAAAAAATATTAAAAATTATATTTTATGACCATATTATTATGAAGACTACTATAACCGAGGCTGGCTACATTATTATATATTCATTGCTCTTACATTCATTCTTCCCCTAATTTTAAAAGATATTAAAATCAAACCATTTCCATGGGCCCCTAAAAGTACTGTGGCTACTGTGCCTAATGAATAATTAGGCCCTGCTCATGAACATGTGCACGGCAATCAAACAATTGAAAAAAAAAAGTTTTGAGGTCACATTTTAAAAGCCAAAGACATAATCTCCATTGATTTTGCTTTTTTCTTCTTCTCAATAGTAGAGGGCACAGGCCAGTGGAAAATAATCATGACCCGTGGGGGTCGTTTGGCAGGGTTTGGGGGGGCCCAAAACACACTCTATATGTGGTGCTCATTCTAGAAAGCTGAAGGAAAGGAGGGCAGGGTGGGCATGAACCCCGCCTCCTGAGTGCCTCCGTGCTCAGCTGTGGTCAGCTCTCCTGGGAGCATAGTTTTGAGACCCTGCTCCCATGATGCCCCACCTTGACTGGGATATGGCTGCCTCCTTCCTGTGAAGGTGAGGTTTCTGCGGACGATGGAACGGTGCTCAGCAGTTAAGTCCCTGGAGGCAGACAGCATGGAGGAATGACAAAGTTAAGAACAGTGACCTCAGCTTCTCCACTCGGTAACTCTGTGGTCGTAGCTAACTGACTTTGCGGTGACTTAGTTTCATCAACTATAAGATGAGGGCTGGTGGTAAAAACAGTATTCACTAAATTATCCACATACTTCCCTGGATGTCCGGGGCTGGCCAAGGCTGAGGACAGAACTGACATGTGTCTACTTTAGGGGAAGGCAGCTAAAAGCTGCTATATTTCCATCCATCCCTTCCCCTCGCGCAGCAATCTGGAAGCCAGTCATTCCAGACCACAGAGCGAGGTAATGGCAAGGGGTCCAGATCTATGAGTTGCTGCCAGGCAGAGAGCTCTGTGGGAGGGGACCCACCTTAAACTCTTGAGAGTGAGATAAGCTGTCCATTTGGGGGTTATGTGTGGCTGAACATGACTTAGCTTATCCGGACTGATCGAGATGATAAGGCCAACACAGCTGGGTCATGGAAATGAAATGAGAAGTTGGAGGCAGAGCGTCCAACACAGTGTCTAGATGACAGGACTCACTTAGTAAACGTTGGAAAGTTCTACTTTCCAAAACTGCATTTTGCCCCCAGAGAATTAAATCACTGCCCAGGAACTGTGGCTCATCCCTTTCTGATCATATCTCAGATACGATCTGAGTTGGGACCTGGCCACAGAATGGCAAAAAAAATGAAGGATGTACACAGCCCTATTACCAGAGCCTTCAGACTCCATAAGTGCTTCTGTCCCCCCACAGAAAGCAGTACAGACACATTGCAGCACCTAAATTCAATTCATTTTCCCTAGAGTGTGGGAAATGGCAGTGGGGAGAGGGGAAGGTAGAGAGATAGTATTATGGGTATATTATTGTAAGTTTCCATTCAGGTGTCTTGTGTCCAGAAAGCTTGTAGATGCTGACTGAGCAGCATCCCCAGGCATCTGAGTGAGGGCTGCCCAAAGCCTAAGGATGCTCTCTGATATCATCCCATCTACAATCTCAACATCACGTGACTCGAGAGTCCCAGCCATAGCTTAGATGGATACTGTGTTTTAGAGAAGAGAACTTGCCGTCCAAAGCAGGGGAAGGGCTTGCCCTGGGTCCCACTGCCAGCAAATGGAAAATCACAGCACTGGCCCTGCCTCTCAGAGCTCTTTCTCTCCACCCATGGCCACCCCAGATTGGCCAGGTTCCTGTTAACTCCCTTCATGGTATCTATCACCTGCCTGAATGGGGGCTTTCAAAAATGAATGCCAAACTCAGGTTTGGCAAGCCTTTCTGGCAACCATTCCACCATGATTTCTCTAGGTGCACATTGGATTGATGTAGCTCTTCAAAGTCAGCCTACCTCTGCAATCAGACAGAAAAGCTATAATCATCCCAGGCATTTCCAAGGGACCTTTCAAAGAACATCATTAATTCTGAATAAAGCTCTCCCCTACCAACACTTTCCAATTATAGCCTTGACATTCCTATTTTGTGCTACAAAATCCCTCTGCCATTTAATGAAGAGGAAAAAGCCTACTTTTTAAAACACATATGTTTGAGTAGCCTACGTATCTGAGTTAACTTTCCAAAATTAAAACAAAACTAACAACAGAAAACTTACTGTCCCTTACCCCCAGCCCCCTCCCACCAGCAGTCCTTCCTTGAGCCATGCACAGTGGTCTCCCCCTCCTCCTTCTTTTTCATGCTTTCGCTTCCCTTCTCGAAGTTTCAGTTATCTGTCATCAACCAAAGTCCAGAAGTAGACGATTCTCCTGAGTCCTCCAGGTCAGTGGTAGCCTAACATGACGTCACAATGCCTAGGCCATCACCCCGCTTCATCTCATCACGTGGGCATTTTATCATCTCACAGCATCACCAGAGGAAAGGTGAGTACAGTAAAATATTTTGAGAGAGATCACATTCACATAGTTTTTATTATAGTATATTATTATAATTGTTCTTTTTTATCATTAGGAATGTTGTTAACCTCTGTGTCTAATTTATAAATTAAACTCTATCTTAGGTAAGTATGTATAGGAAAAAAACCAGTATCTATGATTTAGCGCTCTCTGCGGTTTTAGGCATCTCCTGGGGGTCTTGGAAGGTATGCCTGTGGACAAAGGGCAACTACTCTATTGTATTTGGGAAGGGACAAAAAAAAAAAAATCCTCTTATTATTCTCCTGACCACCCCCCGCCCCAAAAAGTGAAAGATTGGGGCTTCTAGGGTGAGGAGGCCAAAAGGCAGAAAGTTCCAGTTCTAAAGGCAATCAGAGAAGTTCTGCCAAATGCGTGTTCCTCTGTCTCATTCATTTCCAGGATTATGATCTGGACCAGTGCGGACCTTTGGGCAACACCCCGTTGATGCCTACTCCAGCCAGCTCTGCCCCTTCACCCGCGCCCCGGGGTGCCAGGCAGTGTGCTGGTTCCTCCCACACTCCATCTCGAGTGATCCTTCCTCACCAAGAACCCTCTGAAGCAGGAATGAACTTGTTTAAAGATGTGGATAAGAGGCCCGCAGAGATGAAGCAACAAGCCCCCATGTCCCAGGCTGGGATTTGAATCGATGGTTCTCTCTCCTTCCAAAGTCGCTAGAGGAAAGCACTGAGGTTGGGGTAGTAAGAGGAAAGTTATACTTGGGCTAGATTTTACACTCACTTCCTCTCTGGCAGGGAGCTGGCAGACAGAATTCGAGATCCGTTTCTAGCTTGCAGAGGGTGGACCAGGGCACAGCGGAGAAGGAAACCCCGGGAATGTGGAACTCTGCAGGACACACTCCCAGCGCGCCGCAGTCTCGCTCTGTCTCCTCGGGACCAGGAAGTGGCCGGCTGCAGGAGTCATAGGGACACAGCCACCCCTGGAGAAAGCACCAAGGGTGCGGCTCATGGGTCGTGCCCTCAACACTACCCGGAACGCTGCCCCTGCAAGCCCCCTTGGGCCGCGTGCACCCGCGGCCCCCGCGGCCCCCGCCAGGCCCTGTGCACGCTTGGTGAAACCCCTTCACCCGCGCGCCGGGTCCGCAAGCCCCCCGCCGCGTGCGCGCCCCTCAGTGCGCGCTCCGGGAGAGCGCAGGTGCGCAGGTGAGGCGCCCCTCAGTGCGCGCTCCGGGAGAGCAGATGACAAACTCCCCTTGCGCTCCCGGTGCGCGCCCCGAGGGTGCCAGCTTCCGCCGCCAGCTCTCGCGGGGGCCAAGCCCTGACCTCCCCCTCGACCCCCTGTTCGGCGGCCTGCTCCTCACCTGCACGGGGGCGGGCAGCGGCAGCACGGCCCGGCGGCGGCGGCGGCCGAAACGAAACTTGGCCGCCTTGTAGATCTTCCAGTAGACGAACAGCACCACGCCGAGCGGCAGGTAGAAGGCGCCGCAGGTGGAGAAGACGGCGTAGGAGGGCTCCTGGCTCACCTGGCAGCGCTGGCGCCGCGCATCGTACGCCTCACCCCAGCCGAAGAGCAGCGGCGCTAGGGCTATGAGCGCCGAGAGCGCCCAGGTGAGCGCGATCATGAGCGCCGAGGCGCGGCGGCGGGTGCGCAGCGTGTACTGCAGGTGGCGTGTGATGGTCCAGTAGCGGTCCAGGGCGATGGCCGCCACGTTCCAGATGCTGGCGGTGCAACACAGCACGTCGAAGGAGATCCACACGTGGCACAGGCTCCGGCCCAACCGCCAGCGTCGCCCGGCCGATAACTCGCTCACCAGGCTCAGGGGCATCACCAGCGCCGCCACGAGCACGTCTGACACGGCCGTCGAGGCCACCAAATTGTGCGGCACACGATGGAAGGCGCGGACGCGCAGAATGGTGACCAGAACCAGCAGGTTCCACAGGAAAGTGGCCGCGATCAGCAGCACCAGCAGCGTCACCACCAGCACCGTGAAGACGGAGAAAGGCGGCTCGCGGCCCGGCAGGGCGGAATCGCCCGCGGTCGTCGACCCGACGACCCCGCTGGGGCTCGGGCCCATGCTGCAGGCTTCGGAGCCCAGGGGAAGGGCGACGCCGGTGGCGGCCACCGAGAGGTTAGCGGCTTCCATGGCGCGCGGCGCGGGATCCCGGCTTCCCGACAGGGGACACAAGCGCTCCTCCCGGGGCTCGCGTGGACCCGGCAGGTGCGGGCGTGGAAGGCGTCGCTGCGTGCCCCGGGAGGACGGGGGGCAGGTGTCCAGGTCACCCTACCCTGTCCCTCCTTGGTTCACAGCCCCCTTTTGGCTCGGAGCCCTCGTGGACTTCCTTTCCAGTGGAGGGAAAAAAGAGAGTGGGACCCCTCGGGAGTCCAGCTGGGCTCGGCGCGCCGAGCCCTCCCACCTCTCCGCGCCGTCCCCGGGGCAACGGGCTGTCACAGGGCTGGGAATCTGGGAGCGCCGCCGAGTGTCCGCGCGCAGGGGCGGGCTTGGAGAGGTGCTCCCACCCACAGCGGGCGGCCGCAGGGGCCGGGCTGCACCGGGGAGGGCGGGTGCTGAACACCAGGCAGGCCATCATGCCGCCGCCGCCGCGCGAGGCTCCCCAACTCCGCCCTGCGGAGAGAACCCTAACTGCGGCTGTTTCGGGAGAAGGTTCAGGATCGCTCAGCCTTTCGGTAGCCGCCACCTCCACGGACCCTTGGGATCCGCCTGGTGGCACGGTTTAACATCGAGAAACAGAGGCGCCCCCCAACCCCTCTCCCAGACGGAGGAGTTCTGGTCTCATGGAATCACGATCCCACGCATACCTGAAAGAGGAGGTTCGGGTAGTGAGGTACACAAAGGGAGAGACCCTAAGGTCGCCTCCATCCTTCACTTCTAGCTGGCAGGGGCTTCACGGTGCCTTGAGAAGTTCTCTCTGGCTCTGGGCAGGAAGAGCGCTGCCTCTAGGCAGTGTGGCAGAGGTCCCTGAGAGGTAGCTTTTAGAACCCATCCCCGCCATCCCTAACCCTGCCCCACCACATCCCCATCTGTCCTTCCCACCCCACCCCCTTGTATTTGCTAACGTCTCTGACTATGTTACATATCTTCCAGGTCTTCAGATCAAGGTTAAGGCTGGGAATTATTTTTTGTTGACCCTCAGGCAAAGGCAGAAACAGATTGGAAGGGACAAAATCCCCCTAACCTTCTACTGCTCTCCCCCATTTTCAGCCTCAGACTTTTTTTTTTTTTAAGATTTTATTTACTTGACAGGGAAGAGAGTCAGTGAGAGAGGAGACGGAACACAAGCAGGGGGAGTGCCAGAGGGAAAAGCAGGCTTCCTGCTGGGCAGGGAGCCCAATGCAGGGCCAGAGTCCCAGGACCCAAGGGGAAGGCAGACACCTAATGACTGAGCCACCCAGGCACCCCTCAGTCTCACACTTTTAAAAAATAGTTCAGTCAAATGAATTCAACCCGAGGCTGCATTACTTCTGTTCCTGGGCATAGGTTAGAAACACCAACACAAAGCCCAAAGTGTCCCTTTTATTTTCACTGCAGCAGACCGGAAGTCCTCCACTGGCTTCTTACCACATCCCAGGAACAGCCAGAGAGGGGGCACTGCACCCTGAGAGTCCACTCCCAGAGAGATGCATTCTAGAAAGGCCCCTGAGGCTGTAGCAGATGGAAGTGTTTTCTTCCCTGGAGCAGTCCCATACCTGGCCCTTGGGGCAGTGTTTGGGGATCTGGACCCAGCAGGAAGGAGACCCCACAAATGTCCTTCTCCTCTGCTCTCCCTTCTTTATCCACTTGCTAAATAGGTATTTTCTGCTTTCCGCATACTCTGTGCGCTGGTCCTTGCGTACAAACGCACACTTGATCGCAGACTCGTGGGGCAGAGGAAGCAACCTGCAAGGAAGTAAAAAACATTTAACAGGCTTAAGTGTCCACCCCAGAAATGGGCTGTTCGGGATCACAAAGATGGGGATGTTGTGGTCGAAGAAGGCTTCCAGTTTCCTGAAATGCAGGGAGGAAGTGGGCCAGATGGAGGGTTGCACTTGGTAGGAGCATGAAAGGCTGGGGTCAAGGAGACAGACCTGCAGTGTAAAGGCCAAGGAGCAGGGTTTTTGCATTTGGTCTTGGAAAAAGTGGGATGTTGGATGGTTTTTGAGAAAACTCACATGATGAGAACAGTCCTTGAACAGAAAATGGGGACCAGCTTTTGAAATAGTTTCACAATAATGTTCTCCCCATTTTATTGGGCAACATTGTAACAAGAACGAAGAACATCAAAAATGTGACAGAACTCCTGTTGCCCCAGTCAGGTACCTAGCTCGCTATTGTTCTCGTCCCTTTGCTCCCAGCCACATGCATTTTTTTAAGCCTAAAATCAGTTTTTTTTTTCTTTTTGCAGATTTTGCTTAACATGTTCCGTGTTGCTCTATAGTCTCTTCATAGTTGCATATTTTATAATGTGCCATTTAGTACTTGAGAGACTTTGGGCAACTTAGACTCTGTTTCCTCATTTCAGAAATGAGGCTAATTACATCTGCCAGGAGATGATCACAGAACTATATAGTTAGAGGAAGCCCATGGCAGAGGGTTGAGGAAGTGTTCCTTACCCGGGTGACCATTTGCTACTATTTAACTTTGAGTTTAAACCTTCCATTTAGTTCTCCTGCGATCTTTGATGTAGATCCTGTTTGTTCAATTGCAATGACTCCAACATTGGTAGCAAGAAAATTCTTGCACATATTTTATTTCCCTTGATCTTACCCACACCCTTTTAGGCCTCATTCCCATTCAGAGATGGAGAACAGAGAGGTCTGTGGCCCTGCCTTGTGCCTCACAGCTGGGACTCAGCTCTTCTGACTCTTCCCCCGCCCCCCCAGCCCATGTGTCTATGGAGCCAAGCTGCCCTCTCTGCACTGGACTGGGGTCCAGTCCGATTGTTTTCCTTTAACTGTTTTCTAGAAATTACTTTATATAAAAAGTCTGTTTGTCATGTTAGAAAATTATGCTGTCTCTGGAGCGCCTGGGTGGCTTAGTCAGTTATGGGTCCAACTCTTGATTTTGGCTCAGGTCCTGAACTCAGGGTCCTGAGACTGAGCCTCATGCTCCAATTAAGCTCACTGAGCTCATTTGAATTCTATCCTGGGCGTGGAGCCTGCTTAAGAGTCTCTTTCTCCCCCCACCCCCACCCCCACCCCCTAGTGCATTCTCCTGAGCACTCTTTCTCTAAGAAAGAAGAGAAAGAAAGAGAGAGAGAGAGGAAGGAAGGAGGGATGGACTCTATTGTCTCAATTACAGCCGGCTTGGGGTTCTCCACCTGCGTCTCAGTTTCCCTCTCTGCACTCCAGCCACCCCAGCCTCAGCTTTCTGGAAAGGGACAAGCACATTCCATTCTCTGGGCTTTGGTGGGTGTGTTGTTCCTTCTCTCTGGGATACTCTTTCCTCAGGAGAGGCTCATTGGCTGACTCCATTCTGGTTTTCCTGCTCCAGTGTCACCGTCTCCAGCCCACCCCCCCCACCATCAGTTGACAATCTATCCCTCTCTCTAAAGGTATTCTCTCTGCTTAAAACCAAAGTGACAAGGTAACTGTGAAATATGTTGGAGGAACGTAAAGCTTAAACAATGTACAGGAACACACTTTCTAGTTTTTGTTTTTTATTTTTTTATTTTTTATTTATTTATTTTTTTGGAGAGAGAGCATGAGAAGGGGGAGGGTCAGAAGGAGAAGCAGAACCTCCCACCCCCAGACACCCCACTCCTACTGATCAGGGAGCCCTGATGTGGGACTCGACCCCGGGATTCCCAGGATCATGACCTGAGCCAAAGGCAGTCAGTCACTTAACCAACTGAGTGACCCAGGGGCTCAGCAACATACTTTCTGATGGAGGAAATAAACAAAAGGAAAAAGAAATGAGCAACAAAGCATCTATGAATCAAAATATTGGTTTCAACAGGAAAGAGGCTTATTATTAAAAAATGAAGATTCTAAATATCCTAATTTTACCTTTTGAATAAAGATGTACAAAATAAACCAAATGTCTTCAGATCTTGCATTGCTAATAGCAGAAGTTTTTTTTGTAACGAACAAATCTAATTTATCAGAAAGCTGAATTAACTATAAGCTGTTCTGTCTCCCACTGTTCTGCTTTGTCTTCACAACACTTTGCCACGTGACATCATGTTGTTTAATTTCATTCCTCTTTGTTACCTACCTTCCCCACTAACATCTAAGCTCCTCCTAAGGAGAGAACCTCCTAAAGCTGTTTCTTATATCTAATTCTGTGTACACAGAAGGGGATTGAAGACATTTGAACGGATGTGTTGAAGGAACGAAAGAAGAATTGTTGGGAGAGGTGGTCTGTGTGTCCCAAGTACCGGGGCACGTTCCTGTAGGGCACACCAAGGATCCAGGGCCCTGACTGGTCACACGCAGGCCACTTGGCAGAGTTGTGTTTGCAGCAGGTGGCATTAAGGGATGAGGCAACCTCTCCCCCAGGGCACAGGGCAAGCTTCCCTCTGCTCCCTACAGAAGGCAGATGAGCCCCTAAGGCCAGCGCTCTGCTCCTGTAACACAGTAGTCCATCCCCCACCCTGGTCAGGTGCGGGTGTCCATCACGGGCCCTCCTGTAGCCTCCATGGGACTTGGGAAATGTGGAGACCCAGCACAAATATCCCTGGAGCTCACGCTACAGCTCTTGCCTGGAGCGATAACCGTCCTACGTCTCTGACCCGAGGTCTCTCGTCTTCCGAGAGCATCTGCAAACAGTTAGCAGGTCACTTGTTGCTTGCAAGGACCAAGTACCACCAGAGCCCTGCCCACTCAGTACCTTTGTTTGCTGAGTTTTAAATTACAATGAGCAGAATTCTTTTGCCCCTTTGGGACTTCTCTTTGATGCATTTTTCTCCCAAATTTAATAACTGAGCTGAAACAAAGGAACACTGTGATTGTTCTTTTTACGTATTTCCGAATTGTGCCTTAGAGAGATTTAATGGATTTATTGTTCTCTTTTTTTTTTTTTTTTTAAAGATTTTATTTATTTATTTGACAGAGAGATCACAAGTAGGGAGAGAGGCAGGCAGAGAGAGAGGAGGAAGCAGGCTCCCTGCCGAGCAGAGAGCCCGATGTGGGGCTCGATCCCAGGACTCTGAGATCATGACCTGAGCCGAAGGC